CATTGAAGGGCTGAAATTTGCTACCAATTTCTTTGTATCATCCATAGTAAGTTGTTTAAAGAGGATTTTTGTTTAAAGAATCCTTTTTTTGGTTCAATCTTTTGAGAGAAGAGATCCCTTCTTTAAAGAGCTGTTGCCTAATGTTATTTGTTTAAATAATTTATTAATTATTGCTAATAATTCTTGACTCTTTATAGATGCACACATATATGTATTAGGTATGTTTGATCAAATTGATATGTCCATTTGCACCTATGGAACAACTTTCATGAGAAATTTTGGAAGAAATATTGTTAATAGAAGCTAATTCCATTGTGGAATGGTATAATTGTACTTTGCTTTTTAGAATGTATAATTGATCTTTAAAATAGAATAGATTAGTTTTGAACTCAAATTTATAAGTCTCATGAGATTTAAGAAAATTGTTCTTAATATCACAAATAAAAGGATCATAAAATATACTTAATTGAATAAGATTGAAAAAGATTGAATCAACAATTAATGTTGATTTCATTGGTTGAAGATAAAAATGCTTTGGCTTCAGAAAAAATATTCTTTATTGATCAAACGCTGCATCTTCTTCTTCTTTGGATATAAGATAAGAATATCTAAAAAAGGTTTTTAACAAACTCTATTATTTTTGAGGTCAATATATGATCTTAAAATAAAATCTTAAGAATAATATGCTCCAATAAACTTGGTAACAATTCAAAATATGTATCAACATGAAATATTCAAGGTTCTTGTAATCTATATATACTGTGATTGGATTAAAAGCACCTTCTAGATAATGATATTATTCTTGAAATAAGTCTACAATTGCAAGAAGGTCTTTGTTATGAATTTCATAATAAATATTAATTATTAAAAATTTAAGTTTTTATCCATGTATTCTTTAAATATAGCTAATTTATTTTACAATAAACTATAGATTGATTCAAATAATAATTAATCAATAAAATAATTAAAGAAGCAATATCTAAAAGAATTTTTACATTTTTCTTCTTAAAAACATCTTGATAATCTTGATACTGGCTTAAAATGCCATTTGAAGTATTTTTTTTTTATAAAAAATAAGTATTTTATATATAGCAAAAGTTGACCTTTCTTTTGTTAAATGTAAGAAAACTTTTGTACCTATCAATAAGGATTTGGTTGTATTGATCTTATGAATTTCTATTAAACTAGTACAATCTTTGACTAATATATGGAAAAAATCAAGATTATAAGAAATCTAGTCTATTTATGGATTATATTTTTTTAAATGTGATAATCCTAAAATAATTGGATTGAATAGAAATCTAATAATATTGAATATTACTAAGCTATTATGATTTTTAATTGCTACATATGAAGGAATTTTTTCATGGATAACATCTTCAAAGGATAATAAATGACCATCTACGACTTTAATATGCATAGGTTTATTTTTCTTGACTAAAGATATTTTTTGTTTTTTATAAAGATTTTGTCATAAAAGAAGCTGACGCTCTTGAATCTAGCAAGAAAAAGACTTTGGAATTTTTTAGTCCTAAATAAACTTTTATTAAAAAATAAGGTGGAAGATTTGAGGAGAGAATAAGACCTTTACTAGATGTTATATAAGATTCCAACTCCACAATTTCTATCATAGTTGAAAAAACTTGTTTTCCAACATGTTGTCATCTTTGGCAATTATACTCCTTATTTTGTAGTTGAATTGCTTCTTTAGAAAATATTGAATAGTAACTTAGGTTCTCCACAATATAAGCATGAACCTTCTTGATAGCACTAAGTTTTTTCTTGCTCAATAAAATGCTTGAACCATATTATATTAATTTGCATAGGTTGCAGTCTTAGTGAATAAGTTTCTAAAAACTTGGAGGCTATCGCTATTGCTTGATTTATAGTTCTTCAACCAAATCTATGTTCTTTGCATCTTTCAAAGAATTTATTGTTTCATGCAATGGCTTAAGCAATAAATTCCTCTAATGAACTTCCTCTTGGCATCGTCAATAGTAAATCTTTGAAATTATCTTTTAACTCATATCAAAATTGATTGATAAGGACTTTTTCATTTCAATCTACATTGTAAGTGAGATTTTTGAGTTTAACAACATATATAAAGTTGAATATGATCTTTATCTTAAAAATATAAAATTTAATCTCTATAATATTTTTTTAATTATTTTCTTTAAAAATGGCCATAAATACTTTTAAAAATGAATTCAAATCATAGAGAGGACTTAAATCTTTTTCTATCAAAGGTCTAAACCAAAAAAATACATTCTTAAAGAGAGGTGCATCTATGAATCCAACTTGAAAAAATCCATAAGGATATTAAGAAAGATACAACCTTATAAAGAATTTCACCTGTTGTACAAATATTTGAAATTTTGATCTTATTCCATTGAACTTTTTGGGCATACTTATCCTTATTTCTCTCATATTTAAAGTAACAAGATTTCTTTAATTTAGTTATGAGTTAAATTTACTTATCTCAAATTAAAAAAAGATAATCTACAATACCTAATATCAAATAAAAGTTTCTACAAAGAGGGGTAATGCACTCTCTTTAACAAAAACAACCAATGTTAGAAAATTAAAAGTGAGTTTTAAAGATATGTAGTTTGCAACCTTCAAAATATAATTATAGAAGTGAAGTGATCTACTCACTTCTAATGCAAAACATACACAAGAAATTTGCACTCTTGTCAAACTGTCAAGGACATGAATCTTAAAAAACTAAAAAATAAATTCATTCTTATGTCACTTAAGAAGACTAGAAAATCACTCAAAAATAGTATAATACTAAGCTAGAATAACTAATGCAAAATACAAGAATATTAGAAAGTCTTGAAATAAAACTTAAGACTAGAAAGATATTATTAAGAGTGAAAAAGGCTTCAGTCTTGCCTCCATATATATTATCCAACTAGGAGCTACATGGCGACGTCCTATAAGATCTCCAACACATGTTCAATTTACAAGATACATGTCTCAAATTATAAGACAAGTTTTCTATATGTATATCATATTGTTAGCTTGTACCACAAGCTATCCATACATGCAACATATAAGCAATTCGTTGGCCAAGTTTTAAACCTATCAATTAACTATAAACATATATAAAGTCAAATACGCATCTATAAAGATTCTAAGAAGATATGCCATAAGATACTATCAAATCTACCTATATTTACCTAATACCAACACTTCTTATCTAGATAAATATGTATGTCTATGACAATATGTTTACAACTTTTTACAAAATACTAGTAGTTGCTACCACATGTGCTCAAACAACCAAAAAGTTTGTACTTCCATGCATAATAATCTGGTTGATTATTTTCAATTTGGTTATGTTGATTCAACTTATTTTATTAGTCAAAAAACACCACTATTTTCTTTTGGCTTAGTAAATATTGTATCAACAATCAATAGTATTATTTTTTTAATAATAAAAGATAAAATACCAATTTAAAAATTATTTATTCATTTTAGTTTCTAAAATCTTTGAAATCCATATCTTTGTTAGTATAGAATTCATGGTACTAAAAATAAAGCCTATAAATTTTTTTTAATTAATTAAAAAGATATTAAAGAATCATGAAAAAATTTATTAATTTAAGTTACTAAAGTTATTCTTGAAATTTATTTTCCCAAAGATTTTAAAGAGTTGATTAAATTACAAGCCAATTTTGCAACTAAAGCTATTACTACTTTCAACAAGCCAATTTTTTAAGAATTTTGGCACCATTTTTAGTTGTTCAACTATTTTCACAAGGTTCAACCATAGACTTAAGATTGTAAGCAACAACAAAAACTTGCTATGTTAAATTAAAAATAGGCTTCAATGTTAGTACTTTCATTTGACTTTATTTTTATAAGCAAATATATATTTAGTGATAGACCATCAATCTTTGAAGTAGCATATGTAGTTTAAAAATTTGAATAGTAAATTTACGAAGTACACTTTGATGCTCTCAAAATATAATTTTGATATTATACACTAGACTAGTTTTATCTATTTTGATGCAAGTAGGATTTTTTGCAATTAAAGTCCTTTATACGATGATTTCTTAGAAACTAGTTGGCATAGAAATTACAATGTAGAAGCAATATGAAGTTGGAAGTTGGTTGTTTATATCACCTTGATGTCAAGATCTACTTTTAAAGCACTTAATAGAAACTAAGAAGAAAAAATTGATAAGTTATTAGTTGTAGGTGATGTATAAGAGGATCATTTGATTTTGTACAAACTCCACCAAAGAACTTTTCTTCTTCCTACATCTATTGTAGTACAAGATAGAATTAATCACTCAAAGACTAATTTTAGTTTTTTAAAAAATGCTTTATGTCTAACTACATAAAACTAGTCACATAATTCTACAACTAAATCAAAAGACTTATTAGGTGCAATAAGTATATAATTTTTTGATTATTTTAGAATTTAAATGATTAATTCTATGTAATACAATTATATGTATTAGCAAATTTTCTAATTATATTTCTTGATATAAGATTTGTGATCTAACTTAGTTAATTTAATAATTTATTAATTTTCTTGATGTGAGATGTATAATAGCTTATTGCCATAATTAAAGCCTTTGTCCATTATGGATTTGGACTACTATTGGTCTTCAAATTGTGCAAAATTTGTTTTTGTCATTGCACATAGAATTAAGTATGTTTTGGTAATGTTTGTACATTTTAGAATGTAAATAGAACTTGTGGCTTTGCATCAAAACTCTTCTAAGTTGGATATTGCATTCTTAGACAATGTGAGCACATTGTCTAAGAATGCAATATTGTCTTAGCATTATCAAGGGGATAGAACTCAAGATTGTGACCAGTTTCATTGATCAACATTCATATACTTCAAGACAATCTGGATGATTTTCACAACGATCTGAACAAAAAGAAGCTTGGGATATAGAAGCACCCTTAACTCATGCGTAATCATAGATGTTAGAGCAGTACGGCAACCTCAAAATGCACGCCAGACTGGCACAGGAGAAGATGAGAAAATAGATTTGGTGCTATTGAGTCCAGATGTGTACAACCAGAAGCCGTCATGGCCTGGCAGTCTAAAAGGGTTAACAGATAACAACTCATGAAATCGAAATCATTAAATCATTATGGGCTACAACGCATCGAAGAAAATGTCACTGCTGGGAGCTCCTTCAACGTTTTCCTCCGAGTCCTTCCACTCTTCACCATTTGCTTCAACAGTAGTACTTCTCTGCACAGACCACACCAAAACTTGGTTGTCTCATATACACAGCTCTAATATACTTGTGACTCGCCCATTTACTCCATGCTGTAGAAACTGGAGATTGCCGTTAACCACTTTTCCATGTCCATAACTAAAGATTCATTCAATTATTCAACTCAATACCATCAAATCTATTTGCTGGCTTGATGAGGGAAAATGAAAAATAAAAGTATACATAAATGAATAAATAAACAAATGCAAGAGTTCACGCACTTCTTCCCCCATGAGGTTCTGAATGGCTCCACGGGCGGCATGGACTCGTCCCAGTAGACGCCACAGGAAGTTGAAGTCTTGCTTGAAGCCTTCTGCCAAGGCGAGTTCCTTCTTTGCCTGTAGCCCACATTCAGCTCAATCAATTTGATTCATTTTAGGTAATCTTCTAAAGAATATGCAACGATTTGATTCACAGATGTTCTGAAGGTAGCTAGATGGTCCTAATTCATAGCACTTTTGCAACATAGGTACCTCAAGCAAAAGGTCAAAGTCGCTGGCGCGGCTTGCATCATGACTAGCTCGCTGTGTATGTTGGATTATGAGCAGTAATGCACGCTCATATGCTGCCATAGGAATTAAGAAAAGTTCTGTCTGCACGTAACATGTTGTCTCCCTGTCAAACAGCCACAATGACATCACTTAAATTTCATAAGGAACTCAATCAGGAAGCATATGTGCAAATGCTTTATCCAAATTGTTTAACCAAGAGATACAAAATACATCATTTACATGGTCAAACAGGGCAAAAAAGGCTAGCAGGACAGGTCCACTGCTTACAGCAGAAATTATCATAATTTAAAAAGGGCAGAGAATGTCCAATTTCAAATACCTCACAAACTCGAGAGAAATACGAGCCTCATCCAGTTTCCCAAGCTCCCGTAAAGCCGTGCCTTTAATGAGATTGCACAAAGCATGCTCATCTTCTGGGGTTTCCTCTTCATCGTCCTAGAACAGTAAAAATAGGTGCCAGCTCATCAGCCAAACCTCAACAACTACCATATCATATAAGCGAAAAAGTTTTTTAAATGAGATCGAGTAACAGGGGATCATTAAAAGTGTTTGAATTCTAGAAATCACGTTAACCACTAGATTAGCTCATAATGGAACTTCGGGTTAGGACAGCACAGTGGATACCTCCGAGAGGTCTTCAGAGCCTTTTTCGTCACCCGAGCCTTCATACTTTTGCGCGTTCAATCGTGTCTCCGCCTCTTCGACAATGTGTAAAATTCCCTCCAGCTTTGCTGCTGGCATCTACAAACAGATACAATCCTCAATAAATCACAAAGTTGAGAGTAAGTTATTAAAGAATCCACAAGCTATACATAGTGCACCAAAATAAATATCGAGGGCAACTCTTGAGCTTTTGGCGTATGATCAATTGAGATTGACAGTTTGAAGGATCGAGTGCCTGGGGAAAAGAGTTCCATAAATAGAGAAACTCCACTCCACAAATTTGTCCCTGAAGACCTTTTACTCCCTCCTCTGTGTCCAATGCATGATCCTTCACCTGGATGGAGTACCACGCGCTTGAGAATCATAATATATATACAGAAACTACAAGTGTCAAAGAACAACATAATTTAGGCAACAAAAGCTAAGACGAAGTTCGACGTTGATGAGAAAAGAAGAGAAGCTATTTGATTATACTATAGCATTTGACACCAAGAGAGAGCAGTTGACCACGTACTTTCCTCAGGGCATACTGTTCCTCAGCCAACACTCGCCCAGAAATTGTTCCGCGCATGAGCCCATGCACCTAATAACGTTCTCGTCACCATCCAAAATCTTTAGATGTCATATTGTGTTATCAATGCGTTCAAGAGACAAAGGTGAATTACTGCATCTAAGAAGATGGTACAAAATGCAGCAGTGCTATTGAAATTCGGAAGTAGCCAAACATACCCACCTTACCAAACCTCAAAGCAGCGGCCTTAGGTTCTCCACTCATAGCAAGACACACGCCCTGCTCCCAGAACCAACATTGTGTTCGTTATGAGCCCAAAGTAGAACACAATCTATTCACTTCAGGTGTAAATCAAGATTGAAGTTGCTTCATAATAAAGATTGTCGAAGACAGAAAATGATTTCAGTCAAAGTTGAGAACAGTTCAAACTTGCCACTTCAAGGACTTACATGTAAGTAAGCAAAGAATGCCTTGGACCAAACACTGTCTTGTTCCAGTTCTTCCCAGAATTTTTCTGCAGCTTGCCACTGCACATATGCACAGATTTTTAGCTGAATTTGACATCATTCTACAAGGGCACCGATTGGTGAGTTTTTGATGCGAAGAATTTTCACATGCCAGTACAATATGACACGAGTCACAAGAATTGGAGTGATTTTCTTTCTGTGCGTCGTTCACAAGCCCTTCAACCTTGTCAAAACTGAAACATGAAAGACCACTGAAAGCCATGACACAACACCCATTCATTTCAGGTCATCAATTCCCTAATCTGGACCATTTTAAAATGTTACAAGGATAAAAGCACGATGGCACGCCTGGACTTCTTGACATCTGGATTGAGGTTACCTCTAATTGCAACATGTGACTTAGTCCTAATTCATAAACCCATGCATGTCGAAGTTTAAAGAACTTCGAATCTGTTGTTAAGTTGAGTCCCTGCAAAAAAATTGAAACACAAGTCAAGAGGAGGAAACAACAACAACAACAAAAACAATAATAGTATCACTCGGTTCGGTCTTCTTGGAAAATTTATCATCAAATGTGAAGCTCTGTTGGATGGTTTAATACAAGAATATACCTTCTCGAGTTTCTGAAAAGATTCATAAGAACCTGTCAGGTTCCGTTGAAGTCTTTCCAGACGACCCTTGTAAAAGCTGCAATACATGAGTAGATGTAAATGTCTTCTTCGTGTTCTTTTTATCATACCTCAGACAGCAACAATGTCAAGTCAACAACACGCCCCTTGAGAATGACAGGTGCAAAAACGAGGTGTGTTTTTATCGAGATCGTTGCAACGAGCTCAAGATTTTGAAAAGGTTGGTACCTGAGAAAAAAACTGTCGGGAAAATTTGTTTGTAGAATGTCAAGAACTCGCTCAGCACTGGCAATATGTTCCTCCCTTTCCTGCGCAATCCAATCCAAGGCAACGATACGGACACATTTAAGCACTTTAGAATTCTTTCCTTACGTTGTTACACAGGGACACAACTGCTGCATGACATCGAAACACTGCCTCACCTGAGGAATGGAGAAAAAAGAGGGCAGGATCACATGATATGATAGCAGCAGTCTGAACAAAGAAATAACACCACGAATTAAGGTTTCTTCCTTAGACAAGACAGTTGAGAGGAACTGGAGTGTCGTCAGATGTAAGAAACAATGCGATAACTTCATCTACCATACACTGCAAACTACAAGACAGATTACAACATATTCATTCATAGAGCCCCATGATTTAGTACTCTGTGTTAGAATTGATCGAGAGTAAAAGCACTCAACCCCTAATAATAGCACGAAAAAAACGAGCGTGTACAGTCATCGAATGAGAATCCAATCAAGGCAGGTGTGATAGAGGCGGGAATGGTAAGATGCATACACGCCACCTACAGGAGCTCGAAGACCACCGCCTTGGAGACATTGATCAATGGAATCTAAGCCAGCGGCACGATCACAAGGGAAACCCAGCACAGAGAGAAGTCTCAACACCCTGGGAGGTAACAATGAGATAGCCAAACTGAATCCGCCGAAGCCAAGCTTCACGGCTCCTACATTGTGCTTACTCCTGCTCCCAGCTTGCTGTTTGCAAGCATTAAAAAGCACGTTAAAACTCAACGATTCAATGACTCGCTGGAAACCCAGAACTTCTTCACTGCATTGATAATATTATGACCAATAAATACAGTCATAACGAAGAGTGCAAGTTTTGATGATTCATACCTGACTTTTTAAGATGCTATGGCAGTGTCTGTAACCTCCAATAGCAGTTCGTGTCAGCAAGGCTGCCTGTGGAACACTTCAACTTATGAGAAAATTTTTGTATCTAGGTACAACCTCAAAAGCAAAGCACCATGTTTTCTAACTGAACAATCTTACTGCTCAAGTTCAGGGTTACCAATACAACAAGATGGGGGGCAATAACTACACACCCTAAAAAAAGCGGCCATTGACTCCTCAAAGAAGCAAAGGATGGCTGATAGGTAAGTAGATTCCGCTTCAATAATCCGACTGAAGCATAGGCACAATTTGAATTAGTAAATACTCAGCTTGATTAATATGCTTTGAAGAAAACATATACCAATTAGCATATAGTGAAAATAGGCAACCATTACTTGAGCACAATCACAAAATACTTGAGAGATGTAAGGATACGCACCAAGAAAGCTCCTCTTCGGTGATTTCTTGAACCTTGGGAGAACTAAAATAGCCCATACCCCAGGAAACCCAGCCTTGTTTTGGTATGTGCTCCCTCGCCTTCGCGGCCGCCTCTTTCAGCATCTCCATGGCTTGCTTCCTGTCCTCTTCGGTGCCTGTAATGCCAGCCTTTGCAAACAGGATGACTGCATGGCAGTGCGTGAAGATCGGCACCACCTCAGGATCCCTTTCTCTCGTTCTGACTCTCTCCTCGACGAATGCTTCCGCTTCATCGAATTTGCCTTGGAGGAAGAGCCTACTCAACAGAGGCAAGCCAACATTCAGTTACCCTTTTAAAAACCCTAATTGAATGATAATGACTATTGCTGGCCTTTTCCATGCATATATTTGACATTCGACTCCTGTTTTGCTAAGAAAAATAGACTCAGTATGCCTGAATGCTTACTTGTGAACTCCATATCTGACTAGTTACTGTGCATTTTTGCATTAAAAATATATATTTATATGTATACTAACCTATGTTTGATTCTGCTCATGAATGTACTACAAAACGGACTGATCAGATGTAACAAAGATCCAGATGATACAAGTGTTCTTGATCAAGTTGGTCAGGGGCGATGAAGATTATGTAATTAAGACCGTGTTATGCAGCATAAATTCAGGCAATCAGTGCTGTTACTGATGATGAGGTTCGTTCTAATAACTGTGCTCCAGAAGTGGCAATTCAACGAAAACATCCAAAGGATAAGGAGGATTTATCCAGCGGCGAGCAGGAAAAATCCAATTTCACCAAAGATTTTTGAGAAGTAAAGATATGCAGCAGTAAAGATTTATAATGCCAGTGAATGGAATGAAACAAGCGACACATGTGTGTTTTTTCGACTCTCAAGCAACGACTTATTGGATAGGCAATGTGCAGTACAAACGCGCAAGAATCATTTGCATCGCCCGCCCATAATCTGTTTACTCTAAACAAGAATTCCACAACCCACCACAGCACTCACCGAGGCAGTTCCAAAAGCTACAACACTAGACCATAAAAAAAAGGGGCAAAGGCTACCACCATCCGCTTCCAAGGAAGAGAAACTAAACTAAAGCAGGCTTGCACAGGAAAGGGTAAAGAGCAGCGACTCACTTCAAAGCTTCCTCCGCTTCCTCGCAAGCCTCGTCCACGGAAACATGCTCCTCATCGCCCATATTACTGCCCATATCTCCACCTTCCCCTGGCTCCCAACCTCTCCTCCTCCGCTTCCTTCCTTACTCCAAATTCCCTCACCAACCTCCACTACTCTGCACCATCACCATAACCCCACCATAACCCCACTCAAACCTCCTCCCACACCACCACCACACGGAAAACTAAAAGCCCCAACACTCACCACCCACCCTCCTCTGGCTTCTTCACCAGCAATCATCCACCTATAGTGCCAACCATAGCTTTTCCTGGAATGAAGACTTGTCAACAAAACCATGTACCAGCGTTCTAGCGCAATAATGGAACCATCAAACCAGTGCTAGGTAATCTTCTTCTTCTTCTGCTTCTTCTTCTGCTTCTTCGTCTTCTTCTATACAGAGTCCAGGAATTGCGATCCCACTGCGTTACTGATGATAGTTGGGGGATAGTGAAAAAAATGATTCCTTGGCAATAATTCGGCACTGCTGACCTTCAAATACAGTGAGCATTTCCAACCAGGAGGGGCAGGTGGGATGAGCACCTATGACCTGCTACTCATTTCTATATTTGATCCCAGGCCCTCGCGGGAGTATATTCGAGAATCAAAGATTCATGACCCAACTGCAGAGTTCAAGAGGGTGGGCGCAATTGCGGGCTAGATTATATACCGTAGTTTAAGCCTAGATGGCGTCCAAGCTCGGTAACCCCGACGGGAGAGAGAGTGAATGTGCCTCTGTTTTGTGTGCATTATACGTCTCGGGTCACGATCAATTTGTGCAAAGTGTGATGATGTGCACACTTTGTGTAAAGTCCGTTATACATCTCGGATTACGATCAATACAGTGCAAAGTGTGATGATGTGTAAAGGTTTACTTGTTTCCACTGTCCTCTCTTTGTGCTACGGTAAAGTTACTGCACTCGAAACAAGCAACCTCAAGCGTCTTGCCAAACCATCACATTGTTGCTCTTTTGTTTAGTGGCGTGGGTTGTGTGTGCTTGGAATCCGTTGGGATAGAACTTCAAATGATATCTAATTGCAGGTTCTGATTTATTGCTTGTAGATTCATAAAACCCACTTTACTACTCGCAGATAAGAGTTTTCTTTGGGGCAGCACACTTTGTTTTGTGTTGAGGAATGGTGAGTGAAAAGGAGGTGAATATAGTTGCGTATGGACAAGTAAATATAGACGATGTTGGTTAGGTTTTAGTGCTGGCATTACTCTACAAGTGGTCTACGTGTAGACTTGAGCTCATATGTAAACCTTCTTAATTGGAGCAAACTGGGACTATCTTCAAATTGGTGGACTATTAAGGGGTCACTGGTTTGGACTCGCTGGACAAAGGTCTTCGGTTGTGGTTGTCTTTCCTAGAGATATTCAGAAAAAGAACGCAGGCTGCCAACTTGTAAACGAGAATGTTATGATGATTCACTCGTGTGACACGATGTGAAAAATTAGATTAGATGAGAGGACATCAATGCAGGAGATGATGTGTGGGTAAACACTGCGGATGTAAAAGAAAGTCTGTTTCGGCTTTTTCTTTCTCATTAGAATTTGAAACAGCTGGTCTACAAGATCATCCGAAGAGAACGCGTTTCAGGAGCTGACAAACCTCAAGGACAAAACTAAACTATAACAAAGACTCTTTGTGGCACTGCAGAGGGTTTTCACTACTATGAAGTATACTGCAAAACAAAACACCAAATATGCGAAATCCGTCAAAACGTAGAATCGACTAGCATAGATAAGTAAATTTAAAACCTAACAGACCACGCATGTCAACATCCATAGGCATTGAAGATATCACTCCTACTAGACATAATAACAACAAAGGCAACTTACAATGCCCCTCAAATCAGAAAGCCCTAAGATGTGGCCATACATCGCCATCCAATCTTTATTAACCACCGTAATCTCCAGCTGCGAACTTGTCTTCTGGGTAGTACACAGCAACTACCAAGTTTTCATCGAATCTTCGCCCATGCAGCGAAGCCTTCGCTTTCGAAGCACCGGCAATATCTGAATACTCAAGGAAGACCTGGAGAAGTTCACCAACTGTTAAACAGGATTGTCTTGATATATTTACTGATGCAAGATAAAGAATATTACTGGAAGCAACCAGATAAGTAGCAGAAAACAAACAAAACCACTTCACAAATTGTGCTGAAGTATAATTTTTACCTTGCCTAACCCAGGAACATTTTCACCACTTCTAGGTCTCGGAATAACACAATTCACCAAAGTCCCTGTAACACAATTTATTTCAGTCTCAACACATTTACTTTCCAGTCACCCAATTCTTAAAAAATCACTGATAAAATTTGAAAAAACGGTATTCGACAAGTTGCAATTAAATTACTTTATTCGTACATACCATACTTCCCACACTCGGTTCCCATGTCTTCCATAATTTCTTGGTACTCTTCATCATCTTCCAACTGGTTAGGTGTTACAACCTACACAAGCACAATTCAGGAAAAACCTCCATGCCATTAGTAATCGAAAATCATTCAATTACGTAACTGAGAAGGCAAAAGGTTGAATGAGAAAAGAACAGGGAACACCATAGATTGCGACATTGTAAGAGCATCTTTCTGATGAACTTAAAACCCTAATGGCATAAAAACTCACTGCAGTGAACGATGTGCAAACTCGTTAGGTTAGTCAGAGGGGAAGAGAGCGGACAAACCTCAGTCAAAGCGACTACTTTGGTAGGAGTTTCTAACGCGAAGCCATTCCCCATCCCCGCCATCATGGGAAACATTGACATGCCACCCAAGGCCACAGCATTGGCGCCACTAGCCTGCAATGCCAGCTTCTGAACAACCACAAGTACATTTCAACAAAATGATGAGAATAATTAGTTCATGAATCAATAATTAGAGATGTTATAAAATTTAATAACAGGAGGATTACAACTACGACAGATGAGCACAATCTACGATTTCTTTACATGGTAAGAGAGTTGTATGCCATTTCGATACCGAAGGGTTTAGTGGAATCCATTACGTAGGATGAAAAACAATTTCCATGATACCACGGAAGAGTCTCTCACCAGTCTAAAAGAACTGAAACATTACCTGTATAGCTATTTGCTGTTGCGCATGTGCCAAAACATTTGCTTGGTCAGGCTTTGGTTGCCCACTGCAACAAACCACACACAGTATACATCAGAGGAACCAATATACAGAGACCTTTGCACCCTTGCCAAGGTTGCGCAATTATAACAGGAAATATCGCGTCTAGAATAAGATACACTAACAAAACTCCCTTGAACTTCTTGAGTATCTATATGCAACTCCACGCACCCTCACAAGAAAAATCTATAAAAATGCACCGAGACTTATCTTTCATCAGAAATTGACTTTCCAAAGAAAGGCCAACGAACAAGAATGAAGACCTCAAGTCCTGTAAGTGAACTATAGCCAACCTTGCAGTGGCTCGGCGAACGTTTAATGTCTTGTCATCCATTTTCATGCCATTAAGCGTTGCACAGGCAATATCCACAACTGAAGGATCCTGCGAGAGGGAAAGTAGACACACAGACGGAAAAAAGTGAGCAAGTGAGCAATTCGCTCTACCTGGCAGACGCCCGACGCACGATTAGGGTCTTATCGCCCATTATCAAACCATTAAGTGCCGCTATGGCAATGTCTGTAGTAACAGACGGATCCTGCAGGTAATGTGGTTGATCATATCTGACAAGTTAACCACGAAAATTTCCGAAACTAATGTGATTCTTATGTTGTAGCCATTCTGCAGCCCTCACAACTGTTGTAACGAGAGATGGCTTACGTTGTACTTATTTAATATGGTTTATTTTTAGAAAAGGTGGATTAGTAACTACTATATAAGCGTGAGATGTACTAAGCAATTAAGAGCAACAAACAGATTCTAAGCTAAGTCCGCAATAAATACCTGGTAAACACAGAATCCGTAACCTTTCGAGTTCCCTGTGTCACGATCTTTGACGAGATCAAAGCCCCGCAGAGGTCTTCAAATCCCAAACAGACAAAATTGTTAGTTTGCTTCTGACGTGACGCCAGTTCCAATGATGCGACTCATACAGCAGATGAAATCAGGCGGTTTCTCCTGCTCTTGTAAAATCCTCAAAGTGTTCATAAATAAAAACGTGCCATACATTGTATTGCACATACAACCGAAAACTAGTCTTACCCAAATGACTCGAGTAACTCTTTTATCTGAACCTCTGTCAAATAGTAAGGTAAACCTCCAACGAATATACGATCAGGTCCATCAGCACCTCCAGCAGCACTTCTGTAAAATTCAAAATCGAGAACGAATTTTTAAGTAAAATGAAACCTACTAAACATCCAAGCTCCGAAGCAATGAAAAACTACACCAAAAGCCAGCTACATACATGTTACTCATAACGAAGATAATCGCATTAACTTAAGTTAAACCACAGTAGATGCAACCGTATAGAGCGGCACGAGTCAATAAATGACAGCCTACTAAACCAATCCCGTCTAGTTCATGAAGAGTGAAAATTATACCCTGGAGTTAGACCAACTGCGGCCAGATTGAGATGTGGGCTAGGTTGACTTGGACCAAGCGTTGCAGCCATGGAAGGATTATAATCACTTGGTCTTCGCACCCTGACAGAGACTCCCTACAATGCCAAATCCAGAAAGAGCATGTAAAATGCTTCGACGTCTGATGCAAACCAGGTCTATGGTGTACAACAGCAATAAACCAAAAGAATAATCAAATGGGCAGTCTAAGACCAAAGTGGTGCAGATAGAGTGATGTTACATCAAACCGAAGCTAGCACATACACTGAAGAAATATTCAATGTCAAAAGACTAGCAAGGACTACCTCGAAAATAATGCCATCCAAGGCCATAGCATTACTGGCTTCTTCGACAGTACGCATTTCAACGAAGGCAAACTTCTTTTCTTGATTAATATACACGTTAACAACAGCATCACCTGGTGGTTAAAACATAAATTCATCAGAAAATCAAGCATTAAAACTTGGCATTGAACAGACCCTACTTATACGTAGTAATGGTCATGTATAAAAAAAACAAAGAAAAAAACCAAAACATATCAATCACTCCAAAAACGTAACTTCTTAGGCTTAAAAATATATACTCGGCATTACTAAAAGAAATACATCTCCATAGGATTCACTTGCTATCTAGAGTATTCCTTACAATAAAATATTGAAGGACACCATACCTGGCCCAGCGGTATTTCCTCCAACAGCAGCCATCACCTGACTGAAATAGGTCGCAATTGTCTATGCATGCAATGAACCCAACACAATACCAAACACAACATCAAAAGGGAACGAGTACAAAATGTACGCAATGGTAGCCAGATTAAAGATTATACAAACGCATATATACTTCGTTGGAAAAAAAAAGCTACCACTTATACTGTTTAAAGTCTTACACAGTAAATTGAACACTGTTCAGTGCTAATAGAGTAAAAACAAAGCTCTATACTCTTTAACGAGAAACAGCAGAGCTCAAAAGCAACAAACAATCTTGGAAGGATTCCGAAGCCGACTCATGTAAATTTTGTGCTGCACAGAGTATTTACTAACCTGTTCATTTGCCATTGGTGGTAAACCACCGACATATACGCGACGTGCATGCCTGGTAGCCTGCAAAACAGTCATCCTAGAAGTCAGCGTGTCTCGGAAGCAAAAAATTATACAGTAAATAGTATGCGACACTTCGACACAACGCTTCGCTTCAATTCGTTGGGATAATATTACGCGACAGCCAGCTAGCCAGCTAACAGGAACTTCCTGACTTAGGTGCTACTCGTATTCAGCAGTTTGGAAGTGCTCAAGCTGAATAACACCACGACCACCCGTTTGCAGCAAGATTCAATAGTGACTGAAGAGTTCGAACTACGTCTCCACCACGTTAAAAAACTGTAAGCCTTATAATATTATTTAAGCATCGAGGTACACAAAGGCCATTCAGCAGTAAGAAACACAATCACCTGTTGAGTCATAGCTTGAGCTGGCATTCCAGGAAGACCTCCAAACTGCTTGACCACCAAAATACTCAATTACTACAGTACGCTAGAGGACTCACCTCTGACTGTTACATATGACAACTTATAATGTAAGAACCCTACCTCTTGTGATCGAAACATGGAAAACCTAGATATTCAGAGTTAAAAGTACAAACCTGTGTACCGCCAAAAGGAAACATTGCTGGAAAAACTCCTGGCATGGCTGGAGGCATTCCAGGGATTTGTCCTGATAATTAAGAAAGAGATAAATTAAGCAAGTTCTAGGAAAAATTAAAAGAGAGAGAGATGCATGAACGATTCAAGGAGCATTAGTATATTTTAAATGTAAATCGGCAATATCCAAGGCCACAACAAAATTCTGTTACAAAGAATGAAACCAAGTTCGATTCCAAATAGCATCAACTCTTATGCACAATTCTTTACATGATGAGAAGAAAAAAAAAACAAACAAACAAACAAACAAACAAACAAACCTGGAATTGCAGCACCTGCCACAACGGTGGCGCCGGGGGGAGCCATGTCAAAACCACTTGTCTTCCTGGAATAGGCAAAACAATTATCATGATACTAACATCATGCTGCACATATTGCGGCAGACGAAAGAAGTATTTGAGGCAACCTTCCTAACCAGACTGAGGAAAACAAAATTTGCAGTGGGAATCAACCTATAATACATCAGACAGGCAGCGAAAGACATAACGCATTGTCGGCAATTAAATGTGCACGACGTACCGTCTACGGTCGCGAGAAGGAGACCTGGAGCGAGACCTTCTCCGATCACGTGAAGGAGACCTTGAAAGAGTATTAGAGCGAGACCGATGCCTGTGCCTCCGATCTCGATCGCCGTAATCACGGCTTCTCCTGATTCATTAAGTACACACGACCTCAGCAATCTTCCAGGAGCAGTGAATATGCAACCCACATCAAATACTCTTTCATTCTTCAATAAATCCACACTAGACTAAACATCTACAGGATAAGGGGTATTCAACAACACACCTCAACTGCAATTGTCGAAAAAGAAGGGCTTACAGTTGCCAAAAAATGCTTTATTTAACTGGTTCCAAAAAATAGCACACTCTACTGTAATACGTTGATTCTAAACCAAGCTTAGACTATAAATACAGCCAACAAAAACTGCTAATGATAACATTGATGAAGGACAGTGATCCAACCTATCTCGATCATGACTACGATGACGCTCGGAGCGGTCTCGGTCTCCTCGATCTCCTCGGTCAACTCTGTCCCCCCTGTCTCTATCACGATCTCGATCATCTCTATGGCGACGATCTCTCTCTTTCTCCCGACTTTTCTCTCTATCTCTGCCAGATTCGCGAGAATGATGCTGCAACCAAAATACTGAGTTAGTGGAATGAGAGCAAGCACATAGAACCTCCGAGAAGTCTATTTTGGTAAGCAGCATTTTTTGACAGGTCAATTCAAACACAAGTAACCAAAGCCAGTGTAAGCAATCAAAGTCATAAAACAAACCTGTCCACTTTAACACGATTGCCCAGTATCAGAAAGGATGGAAGAAGAGACCACGCTTACATTTCACTACCCCTGACACTCATCTCCAATGACACGATGTCAGGGAAGCTAATGGAGTGGATTCAAGCAGTATTTTAGATTACAGACATTTAGAAAGTACCAACGAAAAAAAAGGGAGAAAAAAGGGAGAAAGAAAAAGAAAAAAAGTGCTGGTAACAATTGAACACCAGGGCAAGACACTCTAAGCTCGAGATGTCCAACACAAGTCAATAGATATAAATATCTTAGAACAGCAACATCAACTGAAGCAATGGGGTGATGGAGACATCTATACAGAGATCTTTGAGAAAGTCGTGGATATGAGGATAAGGAATATCTCCGTCAACCTTTATTCAATATCAATGCTCTTTAAGCGAGGTTCTTCCAAACTACGCACATGAAGGAACAACAAAATAAACAACAATATCCATTAAAATACGGAACTGGTATACAACTACATCCTCAAGAGCAACATGCTGCAAGATACTCTGCTACAGCAAAATTAGAATAGATCTTGATTAGGATATCTTCAACAAAACGAAAATGATGTCTCTTAAGGTTAAGATGTGTAAGTTCATGCAAGAGGCGATTTCACGACATCGCAACTAGCACAAGGTCTCGCATCGTGGATGTGAGAGGACTTAGGTTTTAACACACACCCCTGACCTCCCTCGGGGATCTGAATCCAACGAACGAAAATATAGGTAGTGAGGGTATTTCACCAGCGTCGCATTGCTGAATACTTAGATGATCATCCCGCATATTTCGAGTATAACCTAAAACCCCAGCATAAAATGACAACAATGAACGAAATAGCTTCAAGAAGTCGTGAAACTTCTCACACGGTACAGTACTTATGGACACTTTGCAACAGTAAGCCTGTCCTATGTCGCCCTAACAGCACTGCTCTTGTACTCAAAAAATTAACCCGATGTAGCAAACATCCTGTAATATAATGTGAAGCCAAAGAGATGATAAAAATGTGATGTTTAAATGCAGGATGTAGATGACTTCACAGGGAGCAACTTGCAGAACCATACTTAGATATTTCAACACAAAGACAGAATTCATTGCGAAACCCATGCACAGACAAATCACACGTTTACCTGAATTTTTCACAAACATATTTTTCTGGAAACGAACAAAAAACGAGTTGAAAATACTTAAAATTGGGGATTTTGATTTTATTAAAAAATACCCAATAAAACAAGAATAAGAAGCTGAAGAAGAAGAAGAAGACGGACATACTGCGCTAGGAGCGATGACAGATCATCGATATGGCTGTTCACAAAAAAAACCTAGCCAGAGGAGGCCCGAGTACCAAAACCAAAACTAAACGGACTGGAGACAAGAGAGAACAGGGCATTACCTCACGCTTCCTATCTCTATCGTGTTCGCGGTGATCGTCATAGCCATAATCCGCCTGGGAATGAGTGTGCGACCGCGGCGGAGGTGAATCACCGTCCTCGAACAGCCCCACTCCGTCTGCCATGGTTTACCACAACCTGGCCCAGAGTGCAAGCCCTTCGTGCCCCCTCCCCCTCCCTTCCTCTCCCTCTCCCTCTCTCTCACACGCGCACACACACAGTCTGTCTCTCTTTGTATCTCTCTGTCTCTCTCTCGCACACGGTCAAGGTGGTCGGGCAAGCACTGGGGTAAAAACGCGGCTATGGAGAAACCCTAACACAAGCTCATGGGCAAAGGTTTGGACCGACAAGCGGAGAAGAAGGACGGAAACGCAGCGGAGGCCCTTCCCCTTAGTGCACTCACTCAAGCTCCCACCACCACTACCCCCAAGGCCCTGTTCCACCACCCCCCCCCCCACGGAAATACCTAATCCCTCCCTTCCCCTTGGACTTGCTAGGACGTTACTCTCTTCTCGTCTCCCTACTAGTACTCCTACTACTTACTAACAGCGGTGCTTCTATTGCATTCTATCCTATTGTATCTTTTTTCCACAGTTTTACATTAATTATCATAACTTTGTCATAACAAAGTTTTGATAACCCTCTTGCTCATTGTCATATTGTTTATTACTATGTTGATATCCAGCTTTGTTTTAAAAAATACATTATATATATATATATATATATATATATATTACTATAATAAATTTAAAGTCTTAAACATAAATTAATAGTTATGATTTTGAAAAAAGGTATAGGTCAATAATATTATTAAATAAAGTCAATGTGCTCATTCACTATCATGTGTATTTGATTGATATTTTATTTACCATATATATATATATATATATATATATATTATTTATTATTATTATTATGTCAAGGACATACATATTTATTCTAATATTTACTTATATGATGAAGTAGAAATATGCAAAAATAGATTTATTTCATAATATTTTCTAGAGAAGCATCCTAAAAGCTTCATAAACACTACCTTGACTTTACATGTATTTGTAGTTAATTACTGGGTTAGAAACTTGGTCAACTAGTTAACCACATGTTGATAGCTTGCGGAACTAACTAATAATGTGGCACTTATATAGAAAACCTGCCTTGTAAGTTAAAATACGTATCTTGCAAAGTCAATATGTTTTGGAGATTCTATAAGACATTGCCACATAGCTCCTAGTTAAGAGTATATATAGAGGTAAGAGTGAAGTTTTCTTCACTCTTATTAATGCATTTCTAGTCTTTAATCTTGTTTCAAGACTTTTTAGTCTTTTTGTCATTAACAAAAGCTATTCTAGTATAATATTATATCATCTTTGAATGATTTTTTTAGTCTTTTTAAGTGATACAAGAGTATATTGAGATTTTCTTTCTTCAAGCTTCATGTCCTTAATAGTTTGACAAGAATTTTAACTTATTATTTTTGTCTTTTTTTAAAAGTGAGTGGATTATCTCACTTTTATTGTTGTATTTTGAAGGTTGTAGATTATCCACTTTTAAACAAACTATTTAGTTTTCTAACATTGATTTTTTCCTTAAAAAAATGGATTACTTCTTGTTGTAGAAATTATCATTTGATATTAGAAATCATGAATTACCCTCTTTTAATTTGACTTGTAGATTTGTCAAGTTATTTGAAATAGAAAGAAAAATTATATTTATTACACTTGGCAGAAGTGAGAATAAATTTGCAACTATTACAAATCTTCACAAACTTGTCATTTCTTGTAGAATGAAAATTTCATGCATTATCAATGCCAACCAAAGAAATATTAATCCCATGCATATTCAAGAGATTCAAAGTCTACATAAAAAAAGTCGTGTAATTAAAAGAAACAAGTAAATAGATCTCACAACCAAATCTAAAAAGTTTTGCTTCTATAAATACAATGAAGATAAGGATTAATATGCCCAAGAAGTTTGATGGAATAAGATCAAAATTTTGAGGATTTCTCTAAAAAGTCAAGCTCTACCTAAGGATGCATTCATTCTAATACTCTAATAGATTTACTCAAGTTGGATTCATAGGCACACTTCTATTTGGAAGTGCTTTCTCTTATTTTGCACCTTTGATAGAAAAGGATTGACAACTTCTTTATGATTTGAATTCATTCCTAAAAGTGTTTATGACTACATTTGGAGAAAGTGATAAAAAAAGAGTAGCAGAGATCAAGCTCTTATCTTTATAATAAGGATCACAATTAACTACCATTTATGCAACTAAATTCCAAAACCTTGCTTGTAATGTATACTAGAATGACAAAGCTTTTATCAATCAATTTTGATATGGATTAAAGGACAATATTTAAGATTTGTTATTAATAATGCCAAAAATAGAATCTTTAGAATAACTTATTGCTCAAATGATTGCATGCAATAATCAATTATTTGAAAAAAATCAAGAACAAAGATTTAATTAGAAAAGAATAATTCAAGTAATAACTATGGTCTCTAGGTTTTCAAAAAATTATTTATCAAAGTTGAAATCAATGCAAATTCATATGGTATGTTTTAAATCTCTTAATAAATAAAAAAATATTCATCGTTGTTAAGAAGGTCAATGCCTATATAGTGGAGAATCCAAATTCATTGCTTAATATTGTGCAAAGAAGCAACGCAATCACAAAATGAGGAATATGGTTGCCAAAGAGGACAATGTATCAAAAAACGAGTCTCTTCAACTACAATAGGAATTGTGCACCTAAAATCTTTTATAATTTCTAATCAAGATCCTATTTTCTCCTCAAATACCTTATCTTATTTTATAATAGAAATTTATTTAGGATCAAAAAATCACAAAGTTTTAGCTTTGTTAGATTCAAGAACCTTAATTTGTTTTATAAATAAAGACTTCGTTAAAAAATAAGATATATGTTTTATTAAGAAAATCAAACTTGTGCATGTAAATGTAATAGATATTCATTTATTGTCTTCTAGAGATGTTACACATGAAACTTTTCCTATAGAAATAACAACTAGTGGTTATAATAGTTTAATAATATTTAATATGATTAGATCTCCTTCTAATCTAATTATTTTAAGATTATTGTAGTTAAAAAGATATAACTTTCAAATAGACTAAAATTCTCACAATCTTGATTTTTTCCATAGTTTAGTCCAAGATTTTGCTAGAAAAATAAAAATCCATAACATTGATGCATCCAAATCATTATTGATAGATGAGAGAACTTTCATGCATGTTGTAAAAAAATGATCAATTTTTTTTCATATATGCCATGTATATTGTTGATAGAAGAAAGATTTCAAGTGGCATTCCAAGTCAATACTAAGATTATCAAGATGTCTTTGAAAAAAAATATACATATGCTTCTAAAGCATCATCTTTATGATTTTTCCATCAATCTTTAATAAGAAGCTCAACCACCTTTTGGACCAATCTATAGCCTAATATAGAATGAATTGACTGCATTCTAGAAATATGTTAATGAAAATTTGGCTAAAAACTTCATATGCCATTTTAAATCTCCAACGAAGGCTCTTATCTTATTTGTAAAGAAAAAAGATAGATCTTTGTGGATGTGTGTGGACTATCAAAGACTTAATAAGATCATCATCAATAATAGATACCCTCTATCATTGATTTTAGGACTTTTTGATCAATTAAATCAAGCAAAGATCTATATAAAAATAGATCTATAAAGAGCATACAATCTAATATGCATTATAGAAGGAGACAAATAAAAAACTATGTTTTGAACTAGGCATAGGCATTTTGAATATAATATCATGCCTTTTAGATTCAAGAATGATCGAGTTACTTTTTAACATCTAATGAATGATGTTTTTTTGTAAGTTTTTTGATAATTTTATTGTCTATTATTTAGATGGCATCTTAATCTAATCTAAGAATACAAAAGAGCATAAATTTTATATTTATTGTATATTATAAAATTTAAAAGATAAAAAATTATATACCAAGATGAAAAAGTGTATATTTTATATTATTTAAGTTGACTTCTTAGAATACATAATTTTAAACAATGGTCTTATGATGGATCCTAAAAAATCCAAACTATCATAGATTGGAAGATTTCAAAAATAATTAGAGATGTGTAATGTTTTTTTGGAATTTGCCAATTATTATCAAATATTCATCAAGAATTTTTTTCAAATTGTAGCCCTTTTTATATGTATAACATATAAAGACAAACTTGAGTGGAACAAAGAAGTTGAAGCATCTTTTCAAGCCTTAAAGATAATATTTATTTCTTCACTAATTTTATATTGTGTCAATTTTTTGAACGCATTTATTTGTAGAAATAGATGCATCAAACTTTACTAAATGTATTATTTTGCGACAAATAGGAGAAAATGACAAGCTTCATTTGATATCTTTTCATTTTAGGAAATTTTTAGCAATCAAGATTAACTATGAGATCTATGATAAAGAACTCCTTATAATTGTAGATTCATTTGAAGAATGTCATCATTATCTAAAAGACACTTTTAGTTTAGTCACCATATATACAAATTATAAGAACATTGAGTACTTTATATCAACACAAGTTTTAAATTGTTGCCAAGTCTGTTTAAGCATGTCTTTATCAAGATTTGATTTTAAAATTACTTATCAATTCAAAAAACAACAAGGTTTATTAAACATGCTTTTTAAACATTCTTATCTTACACCAAAAGAAGGAGACATGAATTTTAATCAACAAAGAATGATCTTCTTGAAGCTAAAACATTTTTTAACTTTAAGAAATAAAATCAACATTGATTGTTGATTCAATCTTTGTCAAGCAAATTCAATCAAGTATGTTTTTTGATCTTCTTATTCTTGATATCAAAGCAATTCATTTAAGTCTCATGATACTTCTAAGTTTCAGTTTAAAAATAATCTATTCTATTTTTAAATATAATTATATATTTCAAAAAACAAAGCACAATTATGTATTCTTTAATCTCTTCATGACTTTCGAAGAATTAGACATTTTAGATAAAATAAAACTTTGAATCTAATATCAAGAGATTTTTAGTGGCTTTAAATGTGAAAGGTAGTTAAAGACTTTGTATAATCATGTAATATTTATTTAAAATTAAAAATTCTTCATCATTGATCTTTTGGACTTTTTTAGCCATTACATATTTCATAATAACCATGATCTTTTGTTTATATGGATTTTATCACAAATCTTCTAATCTCATGTTCATATGATTCTATATTTTTGATGGTAGATTGTTTTACTAAAATGGCGCATTTTCTACTATATGCAAAATCTACCATAGGTAAAGAAAAAAATAAACTTTTCTTTAAGAATATTTATTGCTATCATGAATTATTTAAAGATATTACATTAGATAGGAAGACTCAGTTTATATTAAGATTTTAGAAAATACTTTTCAAGAT